TTCTTTCTCACTGTAGGCATTCTTCTGGGAGAATGAACTCACTTCTAGGACCTCAATTAGTATATATTGGTAATGCAGAAGTACCTCTCCCTCTTCCTCTCTCCCTTTCTCCCTCTTCCTCTCTCCTTCTCCTTTTCTATACGACCATGATGCTCCTACTTTCTAGATGCATCTACTTATTCCATAGGTACATCCAATTTCTATAGACCTAAGCACTGTACTCCACCCCATGCTTTTTGCCATGTGTTCTCTATTGCAATGAATGGAGGTGTCATCCATCCGATTACTCAGTCTTAGAGGGATATCATTTCTTTTTAATTCAAATTCAATTTGCTAACATATAACACCCAGTGCTCTTCACATCATGTGCTCTCCTTAATGCCCATCACCCAGTTACCCCATCCCCCCACTCACCTCCACTTCCACAACCCTTTGTTTCCCAGAGTTAGGAGTCTGTCTTGGTTTGTCTTCTTTCTAATTTTTCCCCACTCAGTTTCCCTTTCCCTTATGGTTCCTTTCACTATTTCTTATATTCCACATATGAGTGAAACCATATGATGATTGTCCTCCAATTGACTTACTTCACCCAGCATAATACCCTCCAGTTCCATCCATGTCAGTGTAAATGGTAGGTAGTCATCCTTTCTGATGGCTGAGTAATATTCCATTGTATGTATGTATGGGTGTCATTTTTTTTTAAAGATTTTATTTATTTACTCATGAGAGACACAGAGAGAGGCAGAGACACAGGAAGAGGAAGATGTGGGACTCCATCCCAGACCCTGGGATCATGCCCTGCTGAGCCACCAAGGCATCCCAGATGGGTATCATTTTTGACTTATTGTTCCCTCTCATCCATCACCTCTAACTGATCACCAGTTCCTATTGATTCTGTTTCTGAGACAGATGATAAATCTGGCCACATATCTTGTGTTCTTACTGTCACCACCAAAGTTTAAGCCACCATTGATTCTTACCCTAATTACTACAGTGACCTCTAATGTGTCTTCTCTTCTGGTGCCACACCTGTCCACCCCACTCTACTCACCCACAGTAAGCTTCCTAATAGGCAGTGGCTCCTCTTGGGGTAAATTCAGAAGTTTTTACCAGATTTGTATGGTTTTTCATGGCATTGACTCTCTGTATCTAACTCTCTGGCTTGCCTTTTTTCCCACCCAGCGTGTAGTCTTTTCTCCCAGCTTTGTTGTCACTTTAAGATTGTTTATATTTAAAGTATACAGTTTACTAATTTTGTATACACATGTATTGTGAAATATTCAGTATAATAAAGTTACTTAAGCTATTCATCACCTCACACAATGACTCTTTTATTTTATGGTAAAAATACTTAATATCTACCCTTTCAGGAAAATTCCAGTATACATTACAATATGGTTAACTGTAGTCACATTGTTGTAGTTTAGATTTCCAGAATTTACTCATCTTGAATAACTGAAACTTAGTACCCCTGACCAACATCTTCCAATTTCCCCCACCCCAGCCCTGGTAATTATCATTCTACTCTAGCATATGTTCTTTGACTTGGTTTACTGATTTTTCTTTTCAATTCCCCAACTATATTATTTCTTGCCTCCTGGCTTTGTGGTTGGCATTTCCTTGACCTGGAATATTCTTACCCTTTACAGTTCTTTCCCTATTAACCCCTATTTGTCACTTGTATCTCAGCTGAAATGTCACTTTTTTCTGGGAAGCCTTCCCTATATACTTACATCTGGGTTAGTTTTCTTTTCTACATGATCCCACATCATACTGTGTCTCCTAGAATTGTCCTTATCATACGGTATTTGCTCGTTTGCTGTATCCTCCATCATAAATATAAATTCCTTCCGAGGTTGCCTGCCATCGTCCTTAGCATAAAACAGTGTTGGAACCTAGTAGGAACTGAGCAAAAATTTGATGAGAGAATGGATGAAAGTGCTATACTGACCAACAGCAAATCCATGTTAAAAGCTCAAGATTCTCTTTGTTCTAAGGCTTTTCTAAGCAACTTCTCTCTGCTACCTCAATCTCAAAAATTAATTGGATATAGAGTATAAAACCAGAATACTTTAAAAATAAAGCAGAGGAGGGGCCAGGTATGCTCAAGATAAACTCAGGCAGAGCATGTAAGTCGGATAAAAAAAACTGAAAAACTTGTACCCTTTGGTGGTAAAGGTTAATATTTATTATTCTAGGGAGGGGTGGTAGGTGGGGGAATGGGGTAAATGAGCGAGCGACAGGCATTAAGGAGGTCACTTGTAACGAGCACTGGGTGTTATATGCGACTGATGCATCACAAAATTCTACCCCTGAAACTAATACTATACTACATACAACTAACTTGAATTTAAATAAAATCCTGGGGAAAAAAAAAGATTTATTATCATAGTATATCAGATCTCACAGGATTTGGCTAATCTGTAGGCCAAACCAGTATAAATCAAGGTTTAATTGTGTTCCATTTCAAAAGAGAAGACCAGCAGGAAAATTGAAATAGAAAAAAACAATTTTAATAAAAAATTAAGATTGCTTTGTTAATGCAGAACCCCACTAGAAAGGAGTATTTTGCCTCCTTTTCCTTCAAAAAATACTGTAATACTTTTGTTTGACATTAAGGTACTAGTCTAGAAATATTCTGAAGTAACTCTTTACAATTGCTTATTTAAAAGTATGGTAGCCCAAATTTAGGACTTCCAGGAATCTTGGATGTGGTAAAAACAGGCTTTAAAAATATAATTTCCACCCTTCAGTTCAGGACTATAATTGAATGCTTCCTTTTTTTTTCTTTTTATATTTCTTTCTAATAAGAATTACAAAGTAAAAAGGCTTTTCGCCCTCATAGAATCATCAGAGCACTTGTTTGATGCTTTTGATAGTATTTACGTTATCACTTGAGCTTACTTACTTCTGCTGATTGTAAAGTAGTTTTCCAGAGGCTCACCCTGCCACAAAGTGCACAGGCAGGTTAAATTCTATGATAGCCTGGTTCAGCCTACCTGAGAACCATTAAATACTCACCAAGGGAACATTCCACCATGAATATGTATGTATCCCATTTGTTACACATTTCCATAGCAGAGTTGGGAAGAGTGGGTTGATTTCTATCTTTTTCCCTCCCTCCTTCCCTCTTCCTTCTTTCCTCCTCCCCATACCTAGATGTGGTTTGTGTCCAATTCCCCAACCTGGTGATATATTTTCTTTGTCAAAGTAAGGAGGTACACAGCGGAGATACTAAAACTATGTCTAGTCTGGAACATCAGTTACATGAAGCCAGAGTTAAAAATAGTCATTTGAGACATGACACTAAAAGAGCCCATCCAAAAGCAGAAATACAAAATTAGACAATAGATGGGCCTGGTGGATTCAGCTTCATTTTGCATTGGGTTACTGTGGTCTTTGAATGGCTGAGCCAAACTGAGGTCATCCAGTCCAGGGGGCCTCTGGGAGTGGGGAACTCCAGATCAGGCTTGTTGTGATCTCTAATGCTAAGTCTGTTCTGTTAGCATTTGGCAAGAATTAACTGGAAGATTGACTGATTGACCTATTCAGTCAAAAAGTAAAATCATATGCAATTTAAAAACTCTCAGGGGTCTTTATATTTTGCAAATACAGATTTTTTGAAAATGTTACAGCCTTTAAATCCCTACCTGAAAAAGTAGGTCATTCAGTGATGAGGTCTATTGAGTCCTTGCGTTAATTATTAATGTGAGAAGGAATCTCACAGGTCACGAAAAAGCCAGATTTCTTGACTACCCCACTGCTCCATGCCCTCTGTGAGATTGGGATTTGCTGGTAGGGCCCAGGAATTTGCATTTTAACTGAACAATGGATGGTCTGGGGACCAGCTTTTGAGGCAAAAAAAAAAAAAGCCCCAAATGGATCTTGAAGATCCAATCCTATTAAATCTTATCAGCTTTAACTCAAAGACAAATTCTACTTTGTTCAGTATGGTGTTGTTAGTAGGAACACACAATAGGAGTTTGGTGACTGTAACTTCCTTCCTCCTAGTCCTCTGCTGCCTCTTTTTTTTTTTTTTTTTGCTGCCTCTTTGTAAGTGGAGAGGATCATCCCACCATGTAAGTCATCTAGCCACTTACCTGAGACAACTGGCAGACCAGCTTCTTGCACAGAAAGGAGGATGCTTTCCTTTTCCTACACGTCCATCAAGACCCTTAAATTCTCTGCTCCTGTATCTCAAGAGGTCTTTTAATTTCATCTGTTACTAATGTGTTTCTTCCATCTCTGCTTATTCAGATTTACCTGTAGTAGTAAGTCAGGTGCAAAAGTTCCTAAACTCCTCATGCCCCCAAATAGTGGGATCTTTGATTGCCCTAACCCACCCCCCCACCTTCCAAAGTGTATCTCTTATTGCACTTACCGTGTGTTACTGTGTAACATACCTGTGCTTATGTCGACACCTCTTACCTCTTTTTATTAGACTCCCTGATTTGATGCTCATTCACTTTTGTGTCCCACAATAAGTAAAATGTGTTTGTCTTTAAAAAGTGTTCATTTGCTTGAGTAGTGAAGGGATAAAGACGGCTTGTTGGATTGTAATAATTCTAAAATCTAAATGTTTGCCTTCATTCAATCAATATACACTTATTAAAAACTGCTTATTCTGTAAGCTGCCAGGTCCTGTATATGAGGACCTAAAATGTCTAAATAATTGACTTTTAGGCTCTATTTGGTAGGGTGGATATCTCTTTGGCCTGTTTAGTTAAATGGCTTGTTAAATGTTTGCCTTAGAAATAAATGTTCCCAAACATACTTAAAACCATGTAGGCCTAGTCCATAAGGGCGTATACATCTGAAGTCTATGTACTATGGGGGTATATTAAATTATTTTCCTTTTTAACACCTTGAATTATTCTTTCTTTTTAAATAAATGTATATTCATACACAAGTAAACCTGCATAAGCACTTGGGCGGTTTTTAAAATTTTGTCAAAATACAAATTTGAAATGATTTGCTTCTCTTCTCTTTTCCTGCCATTTCAGATGATGGAAAATTGTCCTTTGAAGAATTCAAAGCATACTTTGCAGATGGTGTTCTGAGTGGAGAAGAATTACATGAACTCTTCCATACCATTGATACACATAATACCAAGTAAGGAACTTTTCTATTGGGTTCTGCAAACGATGTAGAGAAGGTGTGAACAACCACACACTTGATGGAGAGAATGAGAAAATACGTAGTTTTGTTTTGTAATGTTTGATTCTCTGTGGTTAATTTTGAGACACCCCCTTTTGAGTAATTGCAATACTCCGAAAAGCTGAGTATTGAATTGCAAAACAGTGATCTTCTGTTGGGAGCCCTCTTAAGTAGCCATAGGGTGTGCAGAATGTAAAATAAAAGCAGAGATTATAAATAATTCTAATTCTATCGTTAAGAAGAAAGTAGAATTTTACCTCATTTCTTAGGTTTCATCTCCATTTTCCTCATCTAAGAATTGTCCTTAGGCCATTCTTCTATTAGTGCAGTAAAATGTGGAGCTGCAGTGATTATCTGGACAATTCAGATGTGCTTAACTCTAAGTCCCTGTTACCTGAGACATGCAGGTAATTCAGGACACGGAATTTTTTTTCTATTATAATCAGTGAGTACAGTGATCTATCTTTTTTATTTATTTTGCATATATAAGTCTTTGCATTGGTAGAACATTGTTAAAGTTTCTATTTATATTCTTACTATACTTAAAAATGTAAAATAATGAGGAATTGAGGATATAGAACAACAGAAATGTGCTGTTTGGTTTGGGTAATTGAACCAAATCCCATTATCTGTAACAGTCGTGATTGCAGGATTCTAATGTGGAAGATGTGTCATTTTGGTCACGCGGGAAGACCCATCAGCGTGTCTGCTACTTGAACAATCACTGTCTTGCTTTAGGCAAAGCGTTGACATGGTTCCAGGCAGTGAGCCAGCTTGCCAAGAAAATGCTCTCGGACTACATCTAAGCACAGACTTTTTTTGTGGCAACCTAGTAAAAAAAGTTTAAGGATTAAATTCGCTTTCCCCAAGCAGCTGCAAATTTGTTAAATAATCAATCTGTAAGTTTCCTGACTTCTGTTGGAATTTCAGATTCCCTATGAAATGGCTTAAGTGTTTTGTTGTCAGAAAAGGTGTTAACTGATAACTGTGTCAGAAGCTCCATTCCCTTCAACAGATCTGAGTCCCTCCTAGCTATGGGTAGTGTGACAGGGAACCAGCTTATAATTTATGGGACGTAGACCCCACTAACTGATCTTTTTTTTTTTATTTTGACGATTTTATTTATTTATTTATTCATGAGAGACCCAGAGAGAGAGAGATGCAGAGACCCAGGCAGAGGGAGAAGTAAGCTCCCTGTGGGGTGCCTTTGGCTCAGGGCATGACCCTGGGGTCCTGGGATCGAGTCCTGCATCTGGCTCCCTGTGAGGAGCCTGCTTCTCCCTCTGACCATGTATCTGCCTCTCTCTCTCTCTCTCTGGGTCTCTCATCAATCAATCAATAAAATAAATAAAATCTTTAAAAAAAAAGAAAATATCATAGATACTGTGACTGAGGTATGTTCACGCACCTTGGGATCACACAGTGGGACAAGGAAATTTTTAGCCTAGTTTGGCAGCCTCCAGGACTGTTCTTAGCATTAGGGAATCTGGAGCTGAGTCTTTATGGGAGAGCAGAAACTAGGTAGGTAAAAAAAGGGATGAGGGGGCATATATTCCAGTGGAGGAAAAAGCATAAGTAAAGGCCCGGACGGTTAAGCTGGTTGGGAGGGACAAGTATTTTCATGTTACCAAAGTGTCAGTTGTAAGGCTGAGAGCAGGAGGAGAAAAATCTGGGAAGGGAAGAATGGGCCAGACAGGAAGGAATTGACACTCTTGAGATGCGAGAGTGCTTCAGATTTAAACTGCAGGCCGGGAAATGCTGTTCAAGCACTTAAGCCAGGGAGAAATGTCCTTATAGGTCACTGTGGCTCCACTGATGGACAGAGCTAAGGGGGTAAAGGTGGAGAAAGACCACAGATGTTAGCTGAAGTCTTAAATGACTGCTAGGAATAATGTTTATGCATGGAAGAAAGGAAGCCGTGTGAGCCGGTCTGAGAAATGATAACCTAAGTGAAAAAACGAGCAGAGGCTTCGCTTGTGGCTCAGATGTTGGAAGTTGAGATGCTAATACTCCATTATGTATGCTGATTATTTCTTCCTCATTACAGTTATTATTAGAGTTTTAACAATATCCAGGACTGGAACAATTACTGAGAATCACAGTTGCAAAATTAGGCGTCACAGAGATTTTTCGAGACACATTTACTCCTATTAGTGAAAAGTAAAGTGTTCGGTAGACCTTACTGGCCTGATTTGGTATTTTATTTATACATTTATTAGTTGAAATTACTTGGCATGCATTAGGATTATATTAAGTGCTAAAGAAGTATAGGCAGTGATTTATACAGTAAGTCCAAAGGAGTAATTATGTCAACCAGTTACTCTCAGATACACATTCGTAGAAGCACTTTAAGTGTTTTCTGGTAACTGTTTTATGATAATGGTGCTCAAACTAATTTGGAGCTGAAATATATTAGAGACTTCTGAATTGTATTAGTGAAATTCCTTTTTTTTTCTTTTAAAAAAGAATGTCAGTGTCAGGCTTTGATTTTTTAAGGAGATTAATTCGAACATTGACACAAATTTCGGAGCTACACTTCAAGCAAATGATAACTTTTGTCTTTGCGTGATCCAAGTTTTAATTAGTTTAGTGATTATATATGCCATATATTCTTTCCCCTTCCACATAATTTCTAAGAAGATATGTTCTCTTATTGCCAACTAGTCAGATTTGCTCAAGGATACATCTGGCCTGAGGATGGGCTGGACCGTGTCACACAGACTCATGGTCTCATATTAATGGTGAACCATGAGATTCAGATACCATGAGTGTGTGCTGCTGAGGCCCCGAGGGCTGCCTGGTTCCTGCCCCCCTCCCATCTGGTGGTTTAACTTCCTCTTGGAGGTCCATTAAGTCACTGTCTACTTAATGCACTGCATTTTCTTGAGCTGATTTGAGTAAGATTCCATCCCATGCAAAAGTGTATTCTAAGATCATATTAGCTCATTCCTGCCATCTATGGAAATCCATCGTTTTGCTATAAATATTATATTTGCCATGTTTGAAAAGTGACATATCCACTCTGAAAATATTTGGAAAGAAAGAAGGAAAATATTGAGAACCTATCTTGCTAGCTAAAGTCTCCTTTTTTTTCTCATGAAGAATGTTCTTGAAATATGATCAATCATGGAAAGCAAATATTATTTAGAAATGTAATTATAGCTGTTCCTGTAGTACCACATAAGGTATTTTAAATACCAAAATTAAAAAAAACCCATCAGGTAAACCTATAGATTTTCAGACCATGTTTTTATAAGTAGCTTTTAAATAGACAAACTATAAACGTAGAGCTGTGCATTGATAAAAATGAAGTTTTAATAAGTAAAAATTAAATATATTGCCCTCTCTACATGCTTTTAGGTAGCAGTTTTAATTTCCAAATCCAACTCTCCTGGTTTTCTTCCTTTCCTTTCATTCAGTCATTTCTTTGCTCCTTTATTTTAAAAAATCAATATATGCTTTTAAGAAATTATGTTTAGAGGATCCCATCGCAGGCAGCTTTTAGTATGCCCTGGAGCCACTTGGACCTTTTCAGTCACATTTCCTCTCCTGGATGCAACTATAACCAACAGAAATGAGAACAGATCCAAAGACGTGCAACTTCATAAGAGCTGACACTTTTGAGACACTGCAGAGATTTCTATACATGGATATTACCAAGATTGGAAGTATCTATAGGTCTGAATCATAGGGAATTTTTTTTTAGTGTATTTCAAAATGAAACCATCCACCACACGTCCTTCCGTGTTCAGCAGGGTATCCAGGGACTTGTGGTCACCTTGCCAGCTTGCACAGGTGCAAGCTTAAGCTCAAGATGCGGTATAATCTTGTTCTAATGAGAATTCCACGAATCATCCTAGTTGTTTAATTAGAACATTTTGCCAGAAATTATATTCAGGCCCAATATACACAGCCTGAATATTTCACTCAGAGCAGGGACTAGAAATGACAACACCCTAAATGAAAGTAGAAGAAATCTGAAGGCATCAGAAATCTAAATTCCCATCACCTTTATCCAAACATTGATTTTCAAATTGGCAGAACTTTTCCACCACGTTTGGACATTTAGAAAATTCTCATGAGTTTTTTTTTTTTTCTTGAAGGGTATAACTGATTGAGTGTGGAACAAAAAGCCAGTGTATTTCTGTGGGTGAAACTGGGGATATATAGCATAGCAAAGAAAAAGAAGTCCAAAATGTAAGTTTTTTGTCATGAGGGCAAACTATTATTGAAATTTGTAACTTTCTCAAACTCTAAGGGAAATGCATACAATCTAATATTACAGAACATTCTGAAAAATGCCATATCCACCCTACTAAGCCTTTCATGATTTCATAGACTTTTGTCAAGCCTCATTTTAACTGTCTAATCTCTGGGTCAAATATGCCTAATCTTTTTTTCTTCTTCTTAAAAAAGAAAGAAAGAAAGAAAGAATTGTTAATTTCTCAGTCCTTTGAATTAGCCTTGTTACATCTTTTCCAGCTCCATTAAAGGGTTTCGGACACACATTTTTCTCAAATTTTGTATACATTACTGTCTAAAGAATACACAAAGCGCTTAGCATATAAGTTGGGCAAAGTTCAGCACAGACTAAAATCTACAGCTTGGATAGCTTAAAAATTGAAAGCACCCCATCAGTTAGAGAGCAGGAACAGATAAAGAGGGAGATTAGTAGGTCAAGAGGAAACTTCCATGGTTCGTCAAAAGTGCTCTTACTCATCAGAAAGCCAGCTTGTCTACATTTTATAGTCAGTTAGAGGAACACAGGAATAAATTAACATAATTCCCCATGGTGTTAACCATAGCACAGGCGGGGGAAAGATCCCCTAGAGACCAAAAAGGATTCTTTCAGTATCCTGCACTTTGGAGCTCCAGATTGTTAAGATAGACCAAATGGTAGAGCAGATGGGAGTTTTGCTCTTAGGTCACAGAGTGAATGCACAGAAAAGCTTCCC